ATAGGTAAAAAAAAAAGGTTTTATACTAGGTAGTGTTTTTTGTTGCTAAGAAGGCTTGAAGTGGATACCTTGTCAATTTGGAGATGCTCTGTTTTTTCGCGTTTTCATTTTACTTCAAAAAAATTTGAAAACAACAAAATGTTGTTCTCTAAAATCACATCTCATTTCCCAATATTTTCAAAAAATTGGAGAATAAAAAAGCTAAACAAACAACATACCTCTTGTTTTTAGAGTTTAGAGAACAAAAAACTATTTTTGAAAACCAAACCAAACAGGCCAATAGTTTTTGAATCCTTCAGATGTCGTTTCTTAAACCCAACACCCTTGACCATGTTACAATTCTAATAAAGACCTTTGTGATTCCAGAAGTTATGCATATGTATCATTTTCAATCATTCATTGTAAGGGCGAGTTTTGATAATGTTATTTGATATAGTGTTGGTATTTTTTCATGAGATTATGCTAAATTCTATTTTTATTTAAATAACCTTATTTTGGAATATTACATGTGCCATTACTTTGCTTTGATTTCAATATTTTTATCACATGTAATTTTTGAACAATAGTCACTAAAACTTGCGTGTGTTTTTTAGGAAAGAATTGACGTCACAACTAATTTTCGTACAACTTGGCAAAGGGCTATGATATTTCTTAAGTGTTTTTGAAATAAAAGAAATCCACAAACACAAGTTTTTTTTTTCTGAAAATATAATGAATAGTGTTACAAATGTTGTGTATTAGTCTTATAGTAATAAGGAAGGGGAGGTATTTTGTCATAAGGATGGAATGATGATTTAATTTTATATATGAACAATACGATTTATTTTATCTTAACTGTGAAAGTTTGTAGGTACATTATCTGAAAATCTTTACGAGACAAAGCTTATCCACTAGGAATCACCTAGGTGTTTAATGACTTATTACATAGACTAATTGCAATCTGGAAATCTACGAAAATAATTATATATATTTATTTGTTTGTATTACTAGGGACTAGTAATGTTTGATTGGGGTGTGTGATTAATCGTAAAAAGTGCGTAAATGATTTAGGGTTTAGGGTTAATTATGCGTCAATTGATTTAAAGTGCTTAGTTAAGATTATATCATAATTAATATTTGAATTATATGTTTTGTAGGGTTTTATGCAGTTTTGGAGAATTAAAGGGCTAAAGTACGAAGAAGAACAAATAAAAAAGAACAAAGAAAAAATCTAACAACATTGCACCATCCGGACGCTAGGAGGACCATCCCAATGGTGGACAAGGTCAACAAGGGAGGCTTTCATATAAAAATCAGTGGATGAGCACCATCTGGAAGGTGGTGGTGGCGTCTGGACAATGGCCTTAACCACCCCACCTTCTCTTTTTCTCCTATTGGTTTATTGATACAACACTCTTCTCTTATTGATGTCGTGGGTGTCTACCTCCTTGAGCCTTCATTGAAGCCTATAAATAGGCATGATCAAGCCATTTTTGAAGCATGATCTTCCACCATTTGGAGAGCCAAAATCCTAGAGAAAATTACCCTACCTTAAACATTCCTAGCAAAAAATTATATTCTTATACATTTCTTTTACTTACTTTCTACTTAGAGGCTCGAACTTCTCTCACTTTTTCGCCCTAGTCTGTAATAAAAGTGATATTGTTTCAACTATTCCTCGGAGGAAGGATTCTTTGGGTTTTGGTTTGTAATTGTGTAGTTTTGTAATGAGATAGTCTTAGCCTTCCTGCTTGTCTATAGCAATGGAGAATGAGTAGTCTTTTTATACTCTTTTGTAAAGGGTGAAGACATGTGTAATATTATTTAAATAATGAAAATGCCAATGTTTCATTTATATCTTAATGTTTATACCTTTCTTAAGTGATGAATGGTTTCTATTTCTGTTTGGTATCATATTTCTATATGCTCATGGTTACGAGTGCCGAACTAAATTTATTACTATATACTATTTCATATATATGTTATTATGTACTTCATATATGATACAATGATGCACGTACTTGAGTTTTATGTAATAATCAGGAGATTGGTTGTAGACGAGTTAAGTCTTGTCATAGCTAATGTTTTTGATTAAATGCATAAATCGAAACTCCGTCTTTATTGAATCATATACCTGCTGATCGATTAGCTATAGTAAACCTTTTGAATAGTTCACCTTTAAGTTTACTAGGGTTAATTGATTGTTTTAAGGTGCATAGACCTTCTGGTTAACATAATAGTTGTTGTGATATGATACAACTTATACATTGAACCTACCGATTAACTTTCCAATAACATTGGGGTTAATTGCTATAAGGTGGTATTTTCATAATCAAGCAATAAAATGCTTGTTGGATCCCCGAATTAAAAAGTAGTCTTTTTCAATTGTTATAATCAAAGTATAGTTTAAGTATTTACTTATTAGTTCTAAATTCACATCACAAGCTGTTGTAATATACACTACGCGCATGACAATCTTACTCGTTCTATTTTGAGTTCCAACAGATAACTCCCTATAGATTTGACTTCGCACTTCACCGAGTAATATTATAGCTTGACCATTTATACTTGGGTATACGATTAAGATCAAGTCACTTCTGTTTTGTATCTTCTTTTGTGTTTTAACCTTTAATCTTTTAGTGTTTTTCGGCATATCGACCCTTTGTTTGGCAGTAGTTTATCTTCTTTTCTATTGTTGTTGGTTCTTGGTTTATTATTACTAATTGTGTTTCAAACTTATATTTTTCGATTGACTACATTGATTTAGAAATCAATTGAGATAATTATAAATTGCATAAATATAATGATTTGATGAATATGAACAAATCTAAATCTAGATCCCGAAGCTAAAATGTCATTCTTCCAATAGTTATTTCTTTCAATTTATTTAATATTATTTTCAACCAATGTAACCTTTGCCAAAATCAAACCTGTACTTCTTTTACCTTATTTATGAATTCCTTTTTAATCATTGTGGTTCGATCTCGGATTTATTGAGAATTATTATTTCTTGACCACCTGCACTTGGGCATACCCTTTTGGGATTCAAGCAAGATTAATTTTCAGTTTCTTTGCTTCATTCATGGAGTCCCAAGAAAATGTGTGCTGCTCTAGGAGGAAAAGATATGAAGTGGATCTTCTCTCACAATCATACACGTGTATTGCATGACACTATCTAGAGGGGGTAAATAGGTTTTCAAACTTTATGGTTGGACAAAAACCAATTTAAACGTATTACTATCTCAATTACCTCTTGAACCCATGAAGATTAGTGTATTGATTTTATCAATTAATCACTCAACAATCAATCTCTCACGGGGATCCCAACCAAAGACACAAACCCTTGATACACAATTATGGATGATAAAGATATTGAATCAACCATTCAATCAAATACATAGTGCAAGTTTGTGCTCAATTTACAAGTGTATATGAAAATAGCAAAGATTAACGCATGCAATTTGTTGACGCAGAAACTCTTCTCGAAAAAAACTAAGGAAAATCACTTGGGGTTCACCAAAAGTCTAATCCACTATCGCAAAGTTAGATTACAAATACTTGAGTCTTCTACCTCAACTACTATAATGGTTAGAGGCTCATTTCCTTCAATAAACCTTTCCACTGGATACACCCACTGATGTCTTAGATAACTTCGCTTGGATTCTCCACCGCAATAAATCCTCTAGGTCTCGAGCAATCTTCTCCACTAAGATCATCATATGCATACTTGCCAATAGATTTGGTCTTCAACCAAGCAAGCTCTTGTTCTCCAATATGTGATGTTGGATAAGAATCACTAGATGGTAGCCGTTAAAATTAGGGATATAGGGTTTTGACTCAAGCTCTCAAGGTATAAGATAGGTTGAATTTTCTCTTAAGAGGCTTACCATAGGAGTAGGAAATGCTCTCCATAATTATAGGTTTAGAATATGGTTTGTCTTGATACCAAGAAAACACAAATTTGCGAACGACCGCTCGATCAATGAGAAGACGATCATAGGGCAGTGGTCACTATAATGAAAAAAAGATTCAAACCGTGCTTTAGAAAAGTTGACCATAGGGCGATCCCTGTTGTTCCTCCTTTTAGCCTTTGTCCAAATTTTCCCAAGTCTTTAAAGATTGCTCTAGTGAAGACTAGGGGACACAGGACAGTCTTTACTGGTTTTTTAAGTTTAAACCAAACAAAAAACTTTTTCTCTTGAATATTGAAAAGACATTGCTCAAACGGAGTCCGATGATGGCTCAAATTTATGTTTTCAAAACACATTAACGGTTTACAAAAAAATTTCTTTGAAGAACTCTTAGGAGCCATACTCGAATAAATTATTTTTTCATTTTAACACTAATCCTCTTAGTTCTATTAAATCAAGAGATCATCTTAGGTCTTTGGATCATTATCTTGTCCTAAGTAAAAATGTGAGTATAGAGTATTTTTGATGTAGTTTTAATGCATGATCTTCTTCCTTTAAATAATACTTTCAAATATTTATCATTGTAGTATTATGACCATAGAATATGTTGAAATTTACAAGAACTTTATGAAATTAGTTAATTATAAAACATGATCTAATAATGTGTAATCTAATCACAACCATTAACCATCATCTCTAATACTGTCACTAGATTCTCCACCGTTCTCATTGTCATCACGACCACAACCTCCTAGCAAATCACCACCTCCGCTTCCATTATTTTGGTTATTACCATATCCTCTATTGGATAAAACAGGAAATCTCCATCATTGCTGTCTAGTCCACTGGATAACCCAAGGGATATGCAAAGATAGAGGGATATGGGTGGTAGCATATTTATCAGAATTGGACCGAACTAATAAAGGAACCGGATCAATGATTAATTAGTTTAATCGTTAGATTAACTGATTAGACCGGTTATATAATAATAAAAAATATTATTAATAATGATGAATATATTAAAAATTTTGAATAGGTACAAAAAAAATTATTTTTATGCTATAATAGACCAAATAAGAAATCAAGAACACAAAAAAGATCGCAAGTCACTTTTTCATCAAAAACATCATCTTCTGCGGAAAGCTCATTCCCTGCAAAGAACCAGTCTCCGAAGACACCCACAAGAAAGAAAGCAACAAAGAGCGAGAAGAACACAAGTCTGGCCTTTTCCGGTGGACGTCGAAGTCGTTGAATAAATCAAAACCCTCTGAATCCAAAACAAGGGTGGCAAATTTGCAGTAGAGTTCAATTGCCGGTGCCGGAGAAATATAGGAACAATAACAATACCCATAAGTACTGCATCAACAAATATGATATTTGCTCGACAAAGTCCAGATGGTACTTGTTCATGTTTGGATTGGCTAGGGTTCGGGCTGAGATGGGACTGAGTGATATGAAAAGTAGGAAGATTCGCCGGAAATCATGGTCATTTCAAAGGAACGACGACGGTGAGAATTTTGGGCATTTTATAGAAATGGCAGTAGAATCAGCAAGTTTGATGGTTTTACTCCGGTTTAATTGTCCAAGAGGTCCAAATCAAAAATCGGACAGGCTGAGATCCCGGTTCACGGTCCAACTGGTCTAGTCCGGTAAAAAATAAGATATAATGAGGAATTAATGCACTGGCTAGTAGGGTTAATTCTCCTTTTATAGTAAGCAAGTGCACCAACTATGGTTGTTTTTTGACGCCTAATTTTTTCACCATGTCTAGATGTCTATTTTGCGAATTCATGTCTTTCGTCCATTTTGTCAATTTAGTTATTCTATTGGAAACTTGAAGGGGAGTTGAAATTGGAACTTGGGGTAGTTTGGGAATTTTGGATTTTCTGTCCATTCCGTTAGTTAATTTACTCAGTTGAAAACTTAATGGGGGACAAATTGTTGAATTGGAACTTGAGAGACATAATTGTAAAATCATCAAAAGTTGGAGGGGCAATTTGTGATTAATCCCAAAAACAAAAGGGCGGGGGCGTATTTTAAAAACTTGTGACCGAAATGTTCTAACCTATTCACAGTGCGCATGGTCCCATATTCTCGAGATTCGCGCCCCCGAAAATCCTTTCTTAAACCCGAGTAAACAACACAGATACTCAGATAGGAGAGACATAGACTGTTGCGACTCTCGGTGTATCTTGGAGCTCAAAAGATAGGGGAGCGAGAGAGAGTTGGAAAATCTTTTTGAATATCTCTCACTCTAAAAGCAGCAGACTTTTTAGGGTTTGAGATGTCCCCTGCAACCCAATTTCGAAACCATGGTATTGTGTCCTTCACATGCAAATACATTTTCTTTGACGAGGGTTTCTGCTGCCAAAGGTAAGACTACCGTTATTTGCCCATTTCTTGGTTTTTATGTTCTTGAAATTTTAAATTTCTTCTATTGGGTTTATTTCTTGAAATTTTATATTGACTCTGGTTTGCATTTATTGATGCTTGCATGTGTAAATGAATTTTCGTTGTGTCTGTACGCGTGACTTGTGTTGCACCGTTGATTTGGAATGTAAAGAGTCAAGGAGAGAACTTTCAGAATTTTAATGTTGTAGTACTGGTTTTGTGGTATATGGTATGAATAAGGATTGTGAATTGGGCTTATTGGTCCCTTTTCTTTCTTTCTTTCTTTTTTTTTTGTTGTAATTTTTCGTATCCGGATGGTTGTCTTCTAGGTGCAATATTATAACTATATTATCAACCAAATAATCACAAATTATCAAATAAACAAACACAATCAATCAATCAATCTACAATTAAAACATACAATATACACTTGAAATTAATAAACAATCTAAAGTTATAGAACAATAAAACCTGTTTATGAGTTGATGTTTCTAACAAAATAGCTTTGTTGCAGTATACACAAGACCAAAAGGGAATTAGAAAGTCGTTGTTTGTTGAGTGTTGGTCAAACTTGGCCAGTTACCAGAGAGAGAGTTACAAATGAGTTGTTTTTTGTTTTTAATGTTCGACTTTTTTTTTTGGGGTTTGAATGTTTGGTTGGACTATGGGCTCAACTTATAGAATTTAAATATTTTTGATTGGGCTTATAAAGATTTTTATAGGGTCTTTTTGTATTACTTAAAAATTTCATTGATTCAAATTTTTGATATGGGCTATGATGTATCTAAAAATTTACTTTATCAACCTTTTTGTTGGACAGGCTTGTGGATATGGTTTTGATTGTGGGTTTTATGTGAATTAGTCAATGGCTTTGGTTGTGGCTTTTGTGTGAACTTGTCAATAAAGGGTTTTCAATAGTAGGAAACTACAAGGGGTAAAAAGCCCTTATTGGGAACAGGGTATAGATTTTAGTGATCAACTTTGCAATCTAGAGTTTGTAGTATTTTGCTACATGGAAACTATTTTAGATTGTTTTGGCTAGGGGCACAAGGATGATTCACGGTCCTCGTGATTTTTCATCATGTCTCTATGGATACTCCGCACTAGTGAACATTTATTTGTCATTGAATGTGGCACAAAACTTGTGTTCATGACTGTCGAAATTAAAATGCAAAATGGAGAATGGAACAATGACACGAATTTAGTCTAGGAGATAAATCTAGGGATCATGACATGCAAATCAACGGATGACATATCCATGACGAAGCATGCGGTTGGATAGTTTTGTTATTCTTACAAGTAACAATTGATTTGTTGTCAAACATAAGGGGAGTCAATTGATGGAGACGAGGTAGAGGTGGATCAACTTAACCAACTAATCTTTCTATTTATAGGCTCGTCCAAAGAAAGTGACAATGAATGGTAAGAAGTTTCATAAAATATTCGATCTCATAACTTTATGACATTTCAAGGGATGATTTTAAATGGGATGAGTTTGTATGTGTCTTAGGTTTCTATGTACAGTTTATTGTTGGATGACATGTACACCATTTTTGTTACTCATGTGTTTCTTGGTTATTAGTAATTAATACGGAAAATTTGATTCATAAACCTAAAGATTGTTACATCTACAAGGATACCATTTGTATTGTTTGAAATTTCATTGACACTCCATGTCCATGCTTGTTTGTCAATAGACATAATGAAATGATATTTTTATGTTTTTACCTTAGGTCAAACCCGCCTATATCATGCTCCAATCCCCCACCCCCCAACCCTTGTCATCCACCACTCTCTTTGATAGCATTGCAATAGAGTATAGTCTAGCTTTGGTCTGGAGCACCTAATCATTGCCAATTGCCATTGGACACCCCCTAAACCATATTTATCTTCATTAAGGTCCTATTATCTAAAGCGTCTAGAACCAGGGCCGGTCAAATCTGTGCCTCTTGTAAGCTTTATCACATGTCCCAGGTGGTGGTTTGTCTAAGTCGGGTGTACCCCATGAACAAATTAATTGATCTTCTCCTCGAGTGTTGTGGTTATGTAATAAAGGGTTGAGAGGTAACATCAAAAGTTAGGGAGAAAAGGTATATGGAAACCTTAATCTCCTTTTCTAAATAGGTGTAGGACCAGTGTTGTAAAAGTGGAGCCTAGGCGTGTACCTTGCAAGGCGTAGAACAAGGTTTGAAGTATCGATAGAGTCCGATACGACTTGGCCACCTTTGAATCGATGGCGATAAATGTTGTGTACACATCACGAGTCTAATCTAAATCGGTGTTGAGTCAACAATGACTTGACAATATTGGTACAACTTGGAGTCGACACGTTTGACTTGGATGATTCAAAGCTATAAAAAAAGAAAATCAAACACAAAAGGGAGAGGAAGAAGAAAAGACGAGATCCACAAGGAACCCACAAGTAGAAACCCACGTAAAAAATTTGCTACATTTCAACCCTAAAAGCTTATTGCAAAATTGAATCTAGAGATGAAGCTCTTATATATGCAACAGGTTCTCTCTTAGTAATGCAACAGGTTCGCCTTCTCTTTTGACTCTCAAATGCTCTCTCTCTCTCTCTCTCTCTCTCAAATGAAGCTCTTACCAACTCAAACAAAGCTTTTATTGGTTATGACTATCGGTGCAAATAAAGACTTTATGTGAATTAGACATTCTTTTTTTTTTTTTTGGTAAAAAACACGGACACCTCCTTAGTTTTGAAAATATTACATGGACACCCCACTAACATTTTTCAAATAACACAGACCTCCTGAGATTTTAAACTTGTGGCATAGAGATCCCTTTTGTCTCCCTTTTGTCTCTCTTCCATCAATATTGCTAACGGAAAGTGATGATTTTATCTCAAAATTTTTTATTATTCTCACAATTGCCCCTCTTAAATTTAGCGCTAAAAAAATTTAAATTTAAATTAAAAATTTAATAAAATCAAACAAAATTTGATTTAGTGTTGCCATAAGAAACATGCAGAATACCAGTCTCTACATTCCTCTTCCCATTCTAGATGCACCATGGGAGGATTTGTTGATGGATTTTGTGTTGGGTCTTTCGTGGACTCAACGGATTATAGACTCCATTTGTGTTGTTGTCGACTGGTTTGCCAAGATGGCTCATTTTATTCCATGTAGGAAAATCTCATATGCTTCTCATGTGGCTCATTTATTCTTTCGGGAGGTTGTTCGCTTACATGGCATTCCCCAAAACCATCACTTCTGACTGTGACAACAAGTTTCTTAGCCACTTTTGGCGCCATTTATGGGATCGGTTGGACATTTCGTTGCATTATAGTAGTTTGAGCCACTGTTGGAGAAATTTTTAGTATGTATGTGAATTTGCTGTGCTGATTTTTGTCCCCACTTGAAGCAAAGACATTAGAATGCCTCTTACATTGATACTAATCTAATACCTTTCTCACTCTTTTCTTGTGTGAATGTCAGGTTTGGAACTAGCAATGTAGCTTGCTTCAGGGATCTTGTATTCTTCATCTTTTACGGATGAGTGAATTTCCTATCCTTTGAAGCGTTACTGGAATATGTAAACTGATAAATATATCATGACTGGAGTAGGGAATGAAGCCATCGGTCCGTGTTGCACACCTAGTTTTGTATCATATTTACATTTCCTGTACTAATATTCCCAGAACTTGAGATTTTTTGCAAATTGATGCTATATCACACATTATATCGTTTAATTTTTTATTTATATCTTCTGCTGTGCTCACATTATCCTCATTCCACCTAGCATCATTAATGAATGATCTATCATTCATCCATACTGCATATAGCGAACCATGCTGTGGTTCTCATGGAAGCAGTCTTCTCTATATTTATAGAGATGAAATTTGATCATGCGAAGATCAGGTTTGCAGGTAATATGCATTCTAATACAGTAAATACATCTCAGGTCTTAATACAAAATTGTAGAGGAGAAAAGGAAGGGAACTACTA